TCATTCTTATGCATAGTTAAGGAATCTACCCCACCACCCCAGTTCCAAACCAGAAGACATAAAGAACCAAACTTAGCATCAAAATATGTATTTCTGCCTACTGAACTACCATGCCAAATTTGAACTTGATTGGGCAACCATAAAAAAAGTTATTAGAAGAAAACAGAAAATTTGTGGACGGAAGAGTGACAGACGGACAGACAGACAGACGGACGGACAGAGTGATTACTATAGGGCACCCGCAAATCCTTGCGGGGCCCTAATTATAAAAATTTATATTTAAATCCACATTTCAGTGTTTTCATAGCATTCCAAATTGACTTAACTTCAAAACAAACTTCATTTGCAGACAGAGGTGGTAATTCATCTCAATGTGACAGATAAAGATAATGCTCTGGATTTTCTTCAGGAGGAAAGCTAATTAATCCCTAGGGACTCATAGCCAGCATTCAGTTTACAAAGGGAACATCTTCAGCAGTTATCTCTCTTTGCCAATGCATTCTTATATAAAGTTAAGGAATCTACCCCACCACCCCAGCTCCAAACCAGGGGACATAGAGAACCAAACTTAGCATCAAAATATGTATTTCTGCCTACTGAACTATCATACCAAATTTGTACTTGATTGGGCAACCATAAAAAAGTTGCCCATTCATTCTTATGCATAGTTAAGGAATCTACCCCACCACCCCAGCTCCAAACCAGAAGACATAGAGAACCAAACTTAGCATCGAAATATGTATTTCTGCCTACTGAACTACCATACCAAATTTGAACTTGATTGGGCAACCATAAAAAAGGTTATTAGAAAAAAACAGAAAATTTGTGGACGGAAGAGTGACAGACGGACAGACAGAGTGATTACTATAGGGCACCCGCAAATCCTTGCGGGGCCCTAATTATGAAGATATTTCAGAACCAGAGGATACTCAGGCTTTTCATGAAAGAAAATAGAGAACAAGATGTGTCTGTGTAACACTGATGCCCCCGTATGGCAACATAACGAAGATTAAACTTTTCTAGAATGCAAATTAAATATATTGGTACTCAAAGTAGGGTATACTCACTGGAAATACAATTTTGAAATATGAAAGTATGCCAAAATCTCCAAGGTCAAGGTCAAAAGGTCAAGGTAATTTGTATCCAATGAATGGTATAGCCACAACGAATACATATGTGAAGTATGGAAGCCCTAGCTCTAACCCTTCAAAAGTTATGGTCAAGTTTAAAAATTTTGAAAAATAAGTCAAACTCCAAGGTCAAGGTCAAAGGGTCAAATTTCTTGATATCAGAAGAAATGTCTTGTCACAAGGATTAAATATAAAAAAAAATTAAATCACTAGCCCTAACCCTTCAGAAGTTAAGGTCAAGGTTTGTCAAACTTCAAATCACGATAGAAATCCACAAACTTTTGGATCAACCCTCGTACATAGGCGTCGGAAGCAGAAAAAAGGAGAGGGGCTAAAGCAACAAAAAATAAATAAATAAATAAACCCCAATTTTCAATGCCTATATTATGTATATTTTTGAAGAAAAGGGGGGCTAAGCCGATCAAAGTTTTACATAGAAATATGTAAGAAAATTGTTTAAAAATCTTCTTCTCAAGAACAACAAAGACATGATTGACCATACTTATATGGAAGCATCCTCGGGTAGTGCAGAGTCAAGTTTGTTCAAATCATGACCCCGGGGATAGCGGGCCACAACGGCCGACCAAAGTTTTACATAGAAATATTTAGGAAAATTCTTTAAAAATCTTTTTCTCAAGAATAACGAAGTCATGATTGATCATATTTATATGAAAGCATCCTCAGATAGTGTAGATTCAAGTTTGTTCAAATCATTACCCCCGGGGGTAGGGCGGGGCCACAATGGCCGACCAATCTTTACATATAAATATATAGGAAAATTCTTTAAAAATCTTCTTCTCATGAATAGCAAAGCCATGATTGATCATATTTATTTAGCAATCTCAGGTAGTGTAGATTCAAGTTTGTGCAAATCATACCCTTTAAGAAACGGTTGGGACTAAAACTTTTTAATTATAAAATAATTTCTTCTTTTTTTCCTAGCCAAAGTGCTCAGGTGAGCGATGTGGCCCATGGGCCTCTTGTTTTCAGTGGAGGAGATGTGGATAAGAGAAGGATGCTCACCAATATTATAGAGAGAGAATGACAGTATCCATGATTTGCTTTGCTATAGGAAACCCGAAATATTTGTCCGACCAAAATGTAAAATATGAGGTCTCAATGGCACTATATATACAACAAAGATTTTTTACAACTCCCATTAAATTTCATTCAGTGGTATACAAAGCGTTGCGGATAAGAGATGGGTACTCCAAAGCATTACAGACGGGTGAACGGACGGGCATCCCGATCACTATATAACCTATCACTTTTCAAACGGGGTTGGGGATGGTGGGGGTACATGCGAGTTTTGGAATTTGAGTTTTCATTTTGTAAAAGTTTTTGACTGCCAAGAACCCCTCTAGGATGAAAATGCAACTCCAAAAACTTATTCCACATCTACAGAACGTTAATAATGTATTCCAAATGATGAATAGGTAACTTTGAAAAATGAAATGTAATTTATAATACTTTTTTGTTAAAGATAAAATTCTCTTTGTTTAAATACTTCAAAGCTGTGCTCTTCCTTTTTTATTTTTTGATCGGACACATATTTCGGGTTTTCCCATAGCAAAACACGGACATGACCATTCTTTCAATAATATTGAAGGGTACCCATCTCTTATCCACAACTCCTCCTATACCAGTGAATCTTACACAAATTCTTTTTTTTTACTCAATACAATATTGTGCGCCTCTTGAGTTATTTTACTTTTTGATCTGTCACTGATTTCGGGTGTCCAAGAGCAAAAAGGCTTTGCAATTATAACCATATAGGAGGCGGGGGTATCATTTGATTAGTGGGCTCATAGCTCAGTACCTTTAGTTTACTATAAAAAGACGCTAATGGTAACCTAAGAACAAAACTTTTAAAATGAAATAATATATGTCAAGGGTATGCTCTATAGGCATGATTTTGCTATTAGCGCTTTTTGAAAAGAAAGTTAAAGATCAGTTTCACAGGTCAGGAAAGTGATAACATGGTATTTTACAAAAGTCAGTATGTAGAGCAATTATATCTTATGAGAAAAGAAGAAAACACTTGATGTGGCCTTCAACTCGATTAGATATATCGACGACGTGTTGTCAATTAACAATGGTAATTTCCATTCCTACGTCGATACGATATATCCTGGTGAGCTTGAGATAAAAGATACCACAGAGTCTGACACATCTGTTTCATACTTGGATATTTTACTTGAAAAAGGCGTTAATGGTAATCTAACAACCAAGCTATGTGATAAACGTGATGACTAACTTTTCTATTGTCAACTTCCCTTATGCAGCAATATACCTTCATCACCTGCATACGGAGTGTATATATCTCAGTTGATTCGATACGCAAGAGCATGCTCTACGTATGAACAATTTCTAAAACAAGGTAAATTATTGACAAGCAAGTTGATGAAACAAAAATATCAGCAGTCTCGTTTAAAGTCATCATTTCGTAAGTTCTTTGGTCGATACAGTGATGCTGAATGACGTTTCTCATACTAATTGTTAGTCCATTATTTATATACTGGATTGACGACAGATTTCTCCGTTATTTCCCGATCATGACAAGGAGCACACGGCGAGTGTGACCGGTCAGCAGGGGATGCTCACTCCTCCATGGCACCTGATCCCACCTCTGATGTTTCGGAGGTCCGTGTTTGCTCTGCTCCTATTCTGTATTGTTTTATGGACTTTGATATTGAATACTGTTCGTTATCTCCATACCCAAAAGGACCCAAAAGGAAATCAAAAGAATTGGGCAGTAAGGAATCTTTTTCTTGCCAGCGTCTACAACGGCACGGGACATCGATTAAATACGGCCTCATCCTAAGGGCTACTCTCCACGTCCCGCAGTGAGATTCGAACCCCATAGGAATCAACTGCTTACTCCGCCACTCCAGAGCAAAGGCTCTAAACACGTAACCACACAAGCGACGTGTAGCAATATGCCCTTATCACCCATGTTTGGAGTTATACGCTTTCTGTTGAATCGATGCGCAAAGATATACTCTTTCTCATGGGTAAACTATTGACAAACAAGCTGATGAAACAAGGACATCAAGACACTCAAGACAACATTCTCGTTCAAGGTCTATGTTGGATAATTTGAATGTTAAGTCGAAAACTGCATGGATGACTTTTAAAGCTTGATTCTTATCCATTATCTTCATGTTTCAAGTAAGAGACATTTATTGACTTAATTCGAGGGCAACATGCGTTTTGTCAGACCTGAGGCCGTTGGCAGACAGTTTGGTTCGAGGGTTGATAAAACGCATTTACCCGAGAACTCAGTCAATAAATGTTTTGTTACACCTTTTATTTTTTTTTATTTTTTTTACTATATTATTTTCTACTGTCTTTCGTGATATTACAACAGGACCGTCACTTTTGAACACGAACGAATGAAAATGAGATTAAGCTCCGCCATTCTGTGACGTAAGCGGTCCTACATCTCACTCAGCGGTCCAACATCTCATTCAGCGGTCCAACATCGATTTTTTTTGTCCGTCAGCAAAACATTAGAAATGTTAGCATTTTTTCGTATAGATTTGTATAGGAACAAATTTTTAAAGATGACTGTTTAAATCTTGCATCCTAGTATGTATCTGCCGGTGGTCATGGTGTGAGAATATGAAATCCCACTAATACGTCTGTACAGAAACACAAGTACAAACAGCATTATTTTTTTCACAGAAACCAACCGGTCTACCCAACAATTTAATGAACCTTTGTTACAAGTTCAATAATGTGGTTGAATAATACGGTGAACATGCATTGTTGGCCATTGACATATACCTGCCAGCGCCCCGTCTAAATCGATGTGCTTTACTATTTACTGAGAAGATTTTCCTCGATAAAGCGTTTAAAAGTAAGAGCGATAAAACAGTTTTTCTAATCTATCCTATGTATGTACCTTTAATTTGAGTTTATGGTGTCTAGTTGTGTGCCAGATTGGGGAGGTGTGCGTTACAATAGCGGTCACCAGGGACACGATAAACACAGCTTGTAACGGAAGTGGGCTAGTGTGTATTGACAGTTTCGGGGTGTTGGATTATCATATGGAAGATCAATCTTCTTAGGAATAACGATGGCAGCCGCAGCAAAACCCGGACCCTCGGGAAAAGCGCTCGCCGGGTGTAATTTCGTGGCCCAGGACCAAATTTGGTGAGTCTCCGCGTATCACTTCCTTTAGCAAAAGAAAATTATTAACATACAAGTAATTAAAATACATGTAAATTTGTTTTGATTATCTATAAGTTTAAGATGTACAACACTGTGTAATTGGTTATTTAAACTCAGATCCGTATGAAGATTTTATCTTTCTAGCTATACATTTATATACCTGCATTTATTAAATAATACGATTCTATATTGAATTGCAGAATCCATTTAATTTGAGCACCGATTTAAGTTGTTTGGATTTTAAACAGATATTCAAAGAGATTTGTTTGACACATTGATGTCTGATCTTTTCAAAAATTGCTTTAAACACTTTAAAGGCGAATTGAGTACTTGTTGGCAACAAAGTACACGAAATGCCATTTAAATAATAACTTAAGCCAAATAAAAAAATAACTTCTAAACTGTAATTTTGATACGCTTTTTTGAATGCATCATTTAATTCTTTTCTCTTTTAATGTACACAGTATGTTTAATTTTTGAATTTACAAGCTTGATGACTTTTTTCGATATCGTTGCTAATCAACAAATGTATAGAGTATTGACGAAGTAATATTTTGTCTATGAATAATAAAAGATGTTCGATTTTTTTTTTCTACGCCTTAGATCCAAGGGTAATTTACGGTCTTTCATGTAGATTTGGTCATTAAATCAAACATTTTGAATATTCAACTGGGTGATGATATAATATTCACATTTACAAGCTTTACACAGTAATTCGTACAGGCCCACATATAGGAAGCAAATTTATTTAAGAAGGGGAGGGGGGCAACATAACATTTTCAGCTTGTGGAGTTACTACCAAAAGTTCAAATTTCACCAACAAGAAAATAATAAAAATGTTATTTTTAGGGGGGCATAAGTATAGAGCAGCTATGATTAAATAATTCTCTAGTATATATTCTATATTTCGGCAAAATTATTGGGGGCACGATCCCCTCTCCGATTCTTAAAAACATAATTAAGAGTAAAGTTAATTCATCAAGACCCCCTCCCCTTTTAGGAGTAGGTTGGGACCACTTATGTAGTTAAGCTTTTTCAACGCTGGATTGATTTTTTGCTATTTTCTAGCCACAGTCCTCAGGTGAGCGATGTGGCCCACGGGCCTCCTGTTTTGTTCGTGGGTTTCATCTTCGACCTATATTCATTTACGCCATGCTGGTCAAAATAAACTCTAGATTCTGCGTATTATGCTGCATACTATTTCCTCACTATGCGCAGGGGGAAATTTTAACAAATTTACAGACGTAGACGGGGGATGGGGGTTATGAGTTCTTTTTCTAAAAATATTTCTATAAATACCGCTTCCACTCCATCTCCCCTTCCCTTCCCCATGAAAACATAAACATGACTAGAAATAAGAGCATGAATCCCCATCCCCTTAATTTTAAGAAATATGCGGAACTTCGCATATAATTTTTTTTTTACATAGTTAGTTTTTGTCATTTTTTTCATAACCAGTTGATTTTATAGTACAGAGGGGTTGACCTACTTAGTATATTCTTATTCCTCATTTACAGAATTTACATGGGGAGCGCTTAGATGATTTCTTTTAAAAACTTGTGCCGACCTTTCCCCCGTCTTTGAATAAGAAAAGATGTTGCTTCGGAGCCAATTTCCTAATTAAATTAAGACATATACGGTTTCATTTTATTTCTGATATCTAATGAGGTTTTTACATTGACAGGAAAGACCACGTTAATCATGAAGAAGTAGCGTCTAAATCTTGGCCAAACCAGTGGGGATTTCTAACCACTAAATACGAAGATGTGAGTATGTTTAAGATTTTTTATTTGGTGTTTTTTGATTGGTTACTCAACCCCACCCCCCACCCCCAAAAAAGTTACTGCCTATTTTCTTCTTTTGGAACTTTTTAAGTTTCGTTTAAAACCAGCTGAAATAAATCATATAATTTTCAAAGTCAAATCCGTTATCCCATTCAGTTGGCTTATACTATACAGTACACAAATGTATTTTTTTTTTTTAAATATCAGCCAAAGTATTCCAGGATGCACCAAGGCTACCATCTTTTTGTTCAAGAAAATCAGAAAAAGTTAATGGATCTAATGAAAATTTACTGAAGAACTAAGTGGTACCATAAATTTAATACCGTACTAGTTATAAATTTTATGATAGTATCTGAAACAAGGACTTAATGTGAGCTGGAACACTTATCAAAGCTCTATGTCTGATAAAAGGTTAAACTGACTTTTCTTAGGGCTCTAGAAATATGACTGTGCAATTTCAATTTTTCATAGTCTTTAAAGAGAAATGCTTAAAAGGGATACCTGGATTAAAGACATTTGAGTTATATTAATTTCCTCAGCACAGTGTGGTTCACAACAAAAGAATGAATTTCATCTTGCATCAATCATATTAAGAAAAAAAATCAATATGTAATTTTAATAATTCTTCAGCTAAACATTTTATGGATTTCTAGTTAGTCAAATATTTTTATGTTGTTATGAAAAAAAAATCTCTGGGTATGCATTGCGTCCTCACAATGCCAGTGGTTCTGAGTCAACACGTTGCCTCTCCACTTGGGACCCCCGGCATTGAGGAGAAGTATGCATTGTGGCACATAAGCCTCTATTTTCCTGGTTGTTTTACGACCAAAAGTGGTCGCAATTTAAGCTCCCAGTCTACATTTGCTCTTTGCGGTGAAATAATATAATAATAATAATATCTACAAAAACCTTTAAAGATAAAAAGATACATTTCAAAGGAAAAATAAGGGACCAAAATATTAGGCCAGAATATCAACAACAAATTAAAATTGCTTCCTACAGCATAGCATATTTCTTTCATTGCAAATAGCATTTCATTTTTTAAAATATAGACAGCCCCGTGCAATGACAATTACATACCTCTTAATGTATACTTAGTAACTATCAATATTTGCCTATTTACACAGATATTGCAAAGTAAATATTCAAATATTTGATCAACCTTCTAAAACTTCATGACACCATTTTCCTTTTAACAATTTCAGCTAGTAAAAGATGACTTTCCAAAGAAAGATGAATCACAGAAGGCAGACTTAAAGAGCCTAATGCAAGTTAAACCAGTCACACCCATTGAGGAGTACATTCAGGTGGATCCCTCCCCAAAACCTGTCCCTAAAACCACTGCTCAGGCCATAGGGTGGCGATCTGCAGAAAAGACCCTCCAGTTAGAAAAATATGGGAAATATGCAAAACCCAAAGGAGGGCTTGTCAAACAGTTAAATTGGCCCATGGAGGGCATTATGTGAAAATTAATGATATCACAGTTTCTTTAATGATCATGAGAAACTTGCTCATAAATATGAAACCAGTATTATTTATGACTGATTTGCCTCTGGTGCATTTTATGTGTGCTAAAATGAAATGTTTTTATTTTTCTGTATGTCAAAATCATCAGGAATTTTTTGTTTTAACTACTATATAGGAGATTTGTGAATTTTGTTAATGTGCTAACAGAATACTCCTTGTAATAAAATAAAATATAATACTGTATTAAAGGTTCATATTAGTATTAGATATGCATGTATATGTACCCATCAGATGATATTGAAATTAGAACTCATCTTTTTAATTTACCAAGTCATTTATAAAGAAAAACAGTATTGTGTAATGACTGTGGACTGTTTTGAAGTGATGTGATTTTTTTGTGCTATTTTTACGGAGATTTGATATGTTGTAGATAGATAGCCTTTTTTAAAAGATTTTTTTTCCCTCCATTTTACGCATTTAGTGTACTTTACTTGAACGTTGTATGAACAATGCACAGTCTTTCATGATAGATATAGTTTTAGAGCTACTTAATGAATGCTTTGTTATAAATCTTTATTATCACCTGTTCACATTCCATTAGTATGCACTCAGGCATGCTCTCTGTATTCAGATTGTTGTTCTTTTATCAAGAAATAAAAAATCATAAAAACAATGTAATTCAATGTTCTTGTATTAACAAGCCATTTCTTTCAAAACAATGAAGACTTTAGCAAGATTGTGATAACAAATATCCCCTACATTGAGTTACTTGTCTGCATCTTTCAAATTTAGTTGTTTGTCTTTTTTTTTAAATTCACACATATATATTCAACGTAAAGGTACCATATGAAATGACCAATTAACCCTGCCTATCAGCTTATAATTGCATTAAATAAATTTCATATGAAAAAATAAACATCAAATTAGTAAAATGTCTATTGCCACCAAAAGCTCACTGAAAAACTTACTGACAATGATTTGACAAAATGCCAGTATTCTTTGGGTATATACAACATTTCTCCAGGTTTAAGAATACATTCAGAATAACAGGCATCTTTAAACAATGGGAATTGTACATAATCAGGATTTTCAATGTCAACTTGGCTTGTATTTTTCAGTAACATGGTATCATGGGGATAAACAGATTTTGTGAATTCCGCAGAATAGAGACGAACATATTTCTCTCCAAACACTTGGGATAAAAAATTTTCTTTGGGGTCTTGATGAAGGGGGGACACAGTTCCCCCGGGACCAAACCAAGCATTAATGTCCACTTCCTCTTCGGAACCTAAGTAGCAGTAGTCTGGTATTATAATATCCTCCTTCATTTCCGGTACCTGGTCGAAAAGCTGGTGTTGAGCCAGATATCCTGTAGGAATATCCTCAGAAGAATTCTCGATGAACTTGTCAATAAATTTGCCAACAGTCATCAGGCTCTGAGTCCAGTTATCTTCCGTGTACTTTGAACCAATCTCTATGGGGACTAACCGATGTCCTGCCAGGGAATGTATTCTCTCCAGATTCCAGGACCTCGCCCCTGTCATGGCGGGCCAGTGCTCCATTAACCCAGTTAATATCACTGGGGTATGGCTTGTTAGATACTGACTTTGAAAAGTTTCTAGAGAAGGACAACAGCATCTTCTGATCTCTCTATTACTGTCCACATGTAATTTTTCATTCTTCAATTCAGACTTACATTTTTTAACTTTTTCAACTACTTCATTATTTTGAACAATTAATTTCCTTTTGCTGATTTGTTTTGTCTTTGTAAATTCTTTATAAATATCATTGAAAGCACACATTAATCTCTCAAGGACATTGTCTAAAACAGGTGCTCCCATTAATATCCCTGTATCAACCGTCTTCATTAGCTCTTTGTAGAAGTCCTCGCACGAATCATCATTTTTTGTTAAATATTTACTGACACTTAATACCGCTGATCCTATGGTATAAACATACCTCCAGTTGATGTCAACATCTTTCCAGTAACCAGTATTTAGTTTCTCCCAGGTGTAATCCAACACAGGTTTACATAATACGGATGCAGACACATAATCCCTGTTGTAGAATGTGGTGCAGCAGTAATCCAGCATCTCCAATAAAACATCATCTAACATCTGCCTGCTCTTGATCCCAGCCAGTAAATCTGCCTTATTCCCAGGGAGGAGGCTCAATATGGCATCTGTACTCATCACCTGAAGATGAAATTCTGTACATTTATATACGTTGTGTAGAATGAACAATAAAAACACATTAATCCTTCAATTTATATTGATCAAAAAAAAATTAAATATCTATAGTCAATTTTCTTTCCATATGAGAAAAATGTCTATAAGTTGTTCTCACCACAAGATCCATACAAATTTCACTCAACAGATGTTTTCTTTGTAAATGGTAATTGCCATATACTGATTTTTTTAAAAATCTTTTTCTTATTTTATATTCAATTTTTTAAGGAGCTGTAAGGAACAGCTATAATTATGTTTAGGTGATATTTAAAAACATACAGTCCAACCTATTTTATTTCAAACACAATGGGACCCAAAAAAGCTTCAAAATATCAAGATACCCCCAGTATATAGATATCAAGGGTAAATTACTTAAAGAATGTAGCATTTGGAAATCTGAATCATTTCAACATATCCAAGGTATTTAAGATACATTGTATCCGTGTTTGAGATACCAGTACTTAAGTTCAAATGTACATGAAATTGTAAGTATACAAAGCATGGTATACATTTTAAATATGTGTACTTGTGCATGTACTCCATTTACAAAACTACAAAAGCATCATAAAGTTTGCACAAAGAGCTTAGACAGTATTCTAATAATTTTTGATTTTTGATGTTATTCAGCTGACAATCACATCTCTACCCCCCCCCCCATTTCAGGTAAGGGGGTGCAGAGGAGAGTCTGAGTGGAGTACCCCCTCCCCAGAGACAAAATATCTTTTTACATGAGTTTGGGTTTAGCGGGTTCTACATGCTGACCCCAATGGAAATTAGTAGATTAAACACTAGCCTTTCCAACTAATGTTATGTATGAGAAGAACAGTAACTCTAATATATTGCAGAACTGATCAGTGTTCATTGACTCAGAGAGAGTGTAAAGTGTCTTTTGGTTTTGGAAAAAACTATGTGCACTGAAAAGGGAAATTTTATGCACTATTCAAAAAATGTTAGTAAAAGGCATTATTAAAGCTTACTCGTCTATTGTCTGAGGAACTATCAAGTAAATCAAGAGTATTTTTTGAAGTTTCAAAAATGCTTAAGTACATGCACTAAGGTTTCACACATTTTGTTCATGGATAAAGGTACTACATGTATTCCAAAATGTAGAAGAATTACATGAATTTGATGATATACATTTTATTTCTTGCAATTATGAATTGAAATTGCCATACTTCACTTCATTACATTATAATTTTTAATAGGAGAAATCTAGCTATATTTTTATTTATTTCATGTTTCTCAATACCGTATAATCTCTATTAACCACCCCGGCCGCTTAGAAAATTGGGCGGTTATTTTGGTACTCTATTTATGATATTCAATGTCATGTTTTAACTTCAAAAAATCTTTTGAAAAAAAAATAAATACAAGGAACCAATAAAATAATGTCTAACTTTACTTAAAGTGAAGATAATCCACCCAAATTATGCTACATTATACATTTTCCATAGAAAAATTGGATAATAGATAAGTTTAATTTTCACTTTCTTCAATATTTTGATACAATTCTCATTGATTTTAATCACTGTACACTGTACAGGGGGCCCTTATTTCCTGACAATTGAAAAAGACCTAAGGGGGCGTTATAGGGGCAGGGGCGGTTAATAGGGATTATACAATATTTTCATTTGTTTTTAAAATGGAGTTGTCCCTTCATGTCAAAGTTTCAGCCAAGCAAATAGATTTTATTTTTTTCTTTTCATTTGGGATGATTTAAATAAGTGTTGTAAGAAGACAACATTTATAAAATAAAAACACTAAAAATAAAATCAGATATTTTTCAATATTAGATTGCCTCCTTTTCTCATATCTGTACCATTGCTAATTTTCATGATGTTTTTTTAACTTTACCAAAATAAATGTAACAAAATCTCTGAGTTTTTAATAGTACCAATATATTCAAAATTTTTAAATTGAATGCTAACACTTTGTTTCAAAAGGTACCAAGCAGTATACTTTGCAGAACTAAATCATGGAGTTCTTTTGGTGTCCAGATAGGGCCATTTGCTGAATAGAAAATCGACGAAACGAAACCAGTTAATGCAACGCCCAAGCAATCCGCAAAATTAATGTGAAGTCAAATCGAAAGTACTTCTGGTGACAAATTGGAAGCTCAACAAAGGGTTCAGGAAAAAACATGCCATCGCGGTAACACACAACTAGCCGTCACGCTATCACAACACTGAACAACACACTGTCATGCTAACACAATTTCACACAACACGCCATCGCGTTAACATACATCAGGCTGTCGCAATAACACACAACTCACGATGGTGTGTTGTGCGTGTGTTGTGCGAACTTGTGTTAACATGGCAGTGTATTGTGCATTAGCGCAACCACGTGTTGTGCACACTTGTGTTAACGTGACAGTGGTTGTGTGTTAGCGCAACAGCGTGTTGTGCACACTTGTGTTATCGTGACAGTGGTTGTGTGTTAGCGCAACAGCGTGTTGTGCGAACTTGTGTTAGCATGGCAATGGGTGGCAGCGTGTTGTGTGTTAGTGCAATAGCTGAACGCACTTATGGGCAGCTGAAAGGGCAAAAATTACCATAATGAGAAAACAAACAGTCATTTTAATTTCAATGACCATAAAAACTTAACAAATGATATACAATGCATAATCAACAGACCTTTTCGCAGAACAAATATACATTAAAGCAAAATCAACGACCACGTACATAACAAACATATATAAATGCAAAACCAACGATCATCTATGCAGTACAAACGTACATAAAAACACGACAAATGAAAAAAAGTTAACAAACGTGCACGCGGTAAATCTAGTCTTCCAGACTCCCGGCGGTCACGGATTTTTTTTGAAATTTTTTTTTTTATTTTGATTTTGTTTTTTGTCGGTGCACAGAAACTCTTCAAACTTCTCAGGCACATTTTCTTTTTAAATTAATTCAATAATATGTAAAAACTTAAACAAATTTGCGTAATTATTACTGAATCAGCAGTATCACCTTCAAAAATGCGGTAAATGTAGTACTCCGTTATAAATATGAAAACCAAAAACGGACATCGATACAGAGAGACGTATAAGGTGTCGTAGATGGAATTAGTATTTCAGTGAAAATTGGTGGTGTTAATAAAAAAAAATGAAAATTCAAATTCATAATATCAAAATGATTTGATTTCAAAAAAGATTTTTATCAGAATTTTCATAAATATAGCTAAATCTAACATTGTACTTATGGTAAAACCATGCAAAATAAAAGTATTTCATTTTTATACATTGACGTAGCATCGTTTTTGAAAGGAGGGGGTAACCATGCAGAGAGAGAAAAATCAATCTAGCTGAAAAAAGAATTTAAAAATTGACAAGCAAAAACAAATAGGAAATAAAAACAAAATAGCCCAAACTCGAAAATCCTATTTTGTGTGTGTGAGTGAGGGTGTGTGTGTGGGGGGAGGGGGGGGGGGTAGGTTCAACTTCTTTCAGTACCAATTTCTTTCCTAATATACATGTACTACATAATCCTTTTTTGACCTTATACTCTTAAAATTAGGAAATGTTGCTACGTGCCTGTCATATAATATGTCACTGTAAAGTAAAGTTATCATAATAGATTCTTGTAATATTTAAAGAATTGGCGAAAACCAATTTATGTAACCAAAAAAAAAAAAATGATGAAATGGCCTTCAGAAGAATGAGATATTTTTTTCATTTTATGTACATTCTTTTCTTTCATTTGAAATTTTTAAGATAAATTAACCCCCCCCAAAAAAAAAAAAATTAAAGAGGGATCCGAGGTAGAACCACGTCCATGTTGTAGAGCCTGGGAACATAAACATGATGTGGCAAAGAGTTCTATGCGAAAAAAAAAAAAATGTGTGGGGAATTTTAGTGCATACAAATTATCTGGCATGTAAATGAGGGTTTTCGTTTATTAAAAAAATATACCTCAGTTTGTTGTTTTTAATCGTGATTCAAAGAAAACATCAGTATCCTTTTTTCAGTGGTTTTCGCATTTACAGCTGAGTACTAGATTTACTGCTTTTTGGCAGATGGTACTGCTGATTCAGTAATAATTTGTTAAAGTTTTTATACCATTAAATTTAATGAATTTTTTAAACCTAGTCAAAGAGTTTCTGTGCGCCGACAAAAAAGAAATCGCCAAAAAAAGAAAAAAAAAAAAAAAAATTCGGGACCGTCGGGAGCCGGGAAGACTAGATTTACCGCTTGCACGTTTGTTAACTTTTTTCGTTTGTCGTGTTTTTATGTATGTTTGTACTGCAAAGATGATCGTTGATTTTGCATTTATATATGTTTGTTACGTACGTGGTCGTTGGTTTTGATTTAATGTATATTTGTTCTGCGAAAAGTCTGTTGATTATGCATTGTATATCATTTGTTAAGTTTTTATGGTCATTGAAATTAAAATAACTGTTTGTTTTCTCATTATGGTAATTTTTGCCCTTTCCGCTGCCCATACGCACTGTTTGAGCTTTTGCAAATGGCCCTATCCGGACACCATAAATTCTACCTTCTTGTCTCAATCTTCTGTTTATTTCAGTTACCAATAACTTTCATCAATATGCATTAAATAAAAGAATTTTACCTCAGTACTCCTCACACATTCATTGCTCCAATTTACATCGGATATGCAGATCGGAAACTAAATGCTAAAATGAAACCGATCAATATCCATTACCCGGAATGATTTGTCATCGCAATGTTTATCGATAAAAAGATTTTCACTTATCATAGGCTGGCCTTAAAAATTACCTGAAAAAATATTTAAGCTGTTTATTATAAATATCAACTATTTGTAGCATATCTGATGTGACAAGTCCTCCAAAACACACAGGAAAATAGGGATTCAAAATCGGGATCGACATGCAACATTTCCAACAAAATAGCGGGAAACGTTTTTTGTTTGTAATCAACCGTAATGGTCCAAGTTTTGATTTCCATGTAAGTAAAAGTTTTCAGATCAGGTGGATTAGTAATTACTCAAAGAAGTGCATTCAACCTTCTAGAATCACCA